TATATATATATATTACTGACAAATAAATAAGAAAAAATTTATTCAAATCGACTGTTTAACCTTGACGAAAAACATGCTGCCTGAGTGATTCGAATGAGTTGATACGCCGCGTGGATAGGAGAGGATGCGGCCTAAAGAAATCAATATCCTCGTCATCGTCAATAATATCTGAATCATTATTGATGTAGGGTTGATGTAGAGGAGGGTCGAGGAGCGCATGATGTTGGAACTGACGGCTTGTGAGACCTCTAATAGTTCGCGGGTCGTTGATTGGTAGAAATCGGCCTTGAACTCTACCACCTCCGGTAGTAGTATCATTTGCTCCACGCCGAGTAGTTTCCAATAAACCCTCCATTTCGGGGTTACCGAGGTCGGGGTAATGATACTGGTGCATGTAGGATTGTTGATGCTCTAATGGATAGCCTGGAGGTTTGATAAAAAAGGTTATTAGAAATTATCAATAACTCAAAGAGTTTATCTTCGGAAACTGTTTACGATGAAGTAGCGAATACTTCCAGCAGTAAAGTCAGTAATCAGCCATTTACAAATCTACTGATCTTCGTCAAGGCTAATTGGATATACATGCTCATGAACACGTCTTGCAAGCTCTCTCCTAAGTCCAGGTTAAAGTAAAAACCCATAGGCGCAAGATAACGCTTCATTCAGTTGACCAATTCAATTTCATCATTAACCAAATTTTCACCAACCGTTTCAAGCATTTAATTGAATAATTTATAGACTTAAAACAATACAATAAAATCAGCCAGTGATACCAACTGAGCCATTCGAGTATACCTTTATTGAAAGTTTTGTACATTCTCGTGGCACCGGCAGTAGCGGCATACGTTCCCGCGGAAGAGTCCAAAGTTCTACCAGTTGTGAGATTTCTAGAAGAAGGCTGTAGGGTGGTAGACGATTTCGATGCAACTGGCTGAGTAACTTCCTCCTCAAGAATTCCTCCAGCGGCATACGTCGCATAGGGATTCAAATTACCTAGATTTGAGAACAGAAAGGCATATAATGGACATCTATGGAGATATGAAGAAAGTAGTGGAAAGGCGTCAACGTGTGTGCACGCGTCTAAAGTTACGGCTTCTTGTGAAAACTAATATTTTGACAAGGGGTGTGCGCGATAAACTTACCTCCACGTGGTACACCCTGGGCAACGTATACTCATACGGCAAAAGAAGTCTATAAACCCGCAGCTGACTTCTCATTCCAAACTACCATCACCCCACTGTATGTCATATTCGACTACTTCCACAATACTCACCTCACCTTTTCTCTGCCTTTGTGTCTCTCCATCTCTTTTACAACCTGGAACCACTTTTCTGTTCCCCCTCTCGAATTTTTCTCACTTTGATGTTTCTTCCCCTCTGTGAAGG